CAGATCCTCTGGAGCTGACGTCACAGTCGTGAGCTGCCTGACGTGAGCTGTGGTCCACAGTAGAGTCCTCTGCAGAGCAGCAAGTTCTCCTAACTATTGAGCCGTCCCTCCAGCCCCGCTTTCCAGCTTTCATAATTTGAGAGGTTGAACCTTGAAACTGATTTATTTGTACTTCAAGATGCTGATTAAAGCTTAAAATGAACACTAATGTGCTAATGTGTACACACACACACACACACACACTGCCATAAGCCATAGGAGGATTTTTCTGTCTGTATTACAGACATGACATCTAACCTTCACTTCGTCTCCAGGAAGCGAGCATGATACCTTGATTTTCCGGTAGAGAAGGGCTCGACTGTGGGCAGTCCCTCACGGATAGAGAGTGGAATCAGATAACAGCTGTGGAGGCCTTTTGTAAACTGGAAAGTGCTCTGATTTGTGGAGAGCTATTCCCCTACCCAGGGCTCACTCATCCGTACAACACGGCTCCTACAGAGAATGCAGACATGAATTCCTCTGTGGGGGATTTATTCTACTGCAACAAATCTTTGATCAGAAAGCCCTGGAATTTTTTTTCCCCCTCTAAAAGGCTGAGACTGGCTTCTGCAGAGCCATTAGGCCGCTTTGTTTCTGGTAGGTTTTACGACTCAGTTAAAGACTCTTCAGAAAGAAGAAGGGACTGATCTTCCCCCAAGCCCAGGGCAGGAAGCTTAGGTTGAGAGGTTTGGGGAGGACCCCTGCTGTGTGCCAGTTTCTCTGCCAAGGGTGTCCTGGCTTAATTCCCAGCACACTATCTGAGCATGCACGGGTACACACACACACACACACACACACACACACACACACACAGAAAATGAAATGAAAAATAGACCACTATAGGGCTCTGTGGTGGAGTGTGCAGGTTCTGCCATTGAGGGACAGTTCATTAGTTAGTTTCTGGTGGCTTGCTTTTACCTTTGGGCTACCCACACCAATCATGTCCCATCAGGTCATGAACACAGACATTTCTCTATCAGTTGGGCACATACAGGAATGGGAGCGTAACCTGCATGTGGTCCTCACATGGCTTATATCCTAAGACAACACAAATACTGTGCTACGGGCACTTGTACCGTCTCGCCTGCTCACAGGCTAATTTGATCGGATTAAAAATTGTAGCTAGCAGTGGTGGCACCCACCTTTAATCCCGGCATGCTGGAGAAAGAGGCAGGCAAATTTCTGTGAGTTGGAGGCCAGCCTAGTCTACAAAATGAGTTTTAGGACAGCCAGGGGTACACAGAGAAATCCTGTCTCAAAAAAAAAAAAATTGTTCTCTCACCTGCTGGGTGAGAACAGAATGTACTGGTCATCTTTATTTATGGTTCTATCTTGTTATTTGAGGTGTTACTGAGAAAGGCAGCTATTTGTGGATCTGTAGTCCCTGCCCCCAAAGGTAAGGATTAGGGACAAGTCTCCTAACTCCGTTCAGGAAGCCTCTAAAATGATGTCACTTCCTTGACAGTGCAAGTCCCTGACCAAGGCCATCTCCTTTGTCCCTGTCCCTCTTCCCAAGATGTCCCTGGGGGCTTGTCCTCCTATCAGCCTCTCAGCCTTCCCAGCCCAGGACTCCTCCTGCAGGGAGGTGGCTGAGATGTCTAGAGCCACATGAGTGTGTGGGGCAGGCACATCAACCTGCCGTGGGACAGAACAATAGCAAGCCCACCTTAGGCTGTCTGCAGGCAAGAAACTTCCTAAGGATCCAATCTGACTTCATGTCTTCTGTGTAAGCCATAGGAAAGGGAAGGCAGCTGCAGACTTGGAATGGAGCCCCGGGGCAGGAAGGGGTAGGAAGGGGCAGGAGAGTTGTTCTGTTATTTATTACCCCTGGGGCCGTACCTGTGCCTTGAGGCTTTTCTTCCTGAGTCGCAAAATTTGTACAAAGGTAGAGATTTGGAGAGTTCTGGACTCAGTTATTCTACCTCCAGCTGGGTGACGTCACCTCTCTGAACACCCACTGGCCAATTCCTTAAGTTGGAGGATATGTCACCGACTGGACAGGTTTGGTGACTGGGCTGGCTCAGAGCCTATAACATAGCAAGAACACCATTAATAACAACAATAAAAGGCTGGGTGTGCCTTTAATCCAGCACGCTGTGCTCTGGGCACCTCCAACTTTCCCTGTATTCTCAGCTGGTGACACTTGACACTTGCATGTCTCGCCTGCTCTCAGGCTAATTTGATGGGATTAAAAAATGTAGATTTCATGACTCAGTTAAAGACTCTTCAGAAAGAAGGGATTGACGCTGGATGATCTCTGTTGAGTTTAGGTTGGCTTGGTCTATTTTGTGAGTTCTAGGCCAGCCAGGGCTACACAGTGAGACCCTGTCTCAAAATAATAGTAATAATATGATAATAATAATAATAATAATAATAATAATAATGTATTTTATTTTGGGGCTATGTTTTAGAGCCTTTCTTCCTTCCTTCTTTCCTTCCTTCCTTCCTTCCTCCTTCCTTCCTTCCTTGATAGGTTCTCATGTAACCTAGGCTGATTTCTTCTTTCCTTGTTTCCTCTCTCTCTCCCTCCTCATATTCTCCCTCCCTCCTTCCTTCCCTCCCTCCCTCCTTCCCTCCCTCCCTCCCTCCCTCTTTCCTTCCTTCCTTCCTTACTTTCTTGGAGGTAGGGCCTCATATAATCTAGGTTGACCTCAAACTTGCAATATGACTGAGGCTGGCTTTGAACATCTAATCTTCCTACCTCCACCTGCAAAAGAGCTGGGAATATAAGTATGTGCCACCACTGCCCAGATGTTGTTTTGTTTTTTGAGACAGGATCTCACCATGTAGTCCTGGCTATCCTGGAGACTACTCACACATGTCAGAACACATAAAAATATGCAGTAGCTCTTACAGTGAGATGGGAGATGAAAATAGGCTGGGGAATGGAGAGATGGCTCAGCGGTTAAGAGCACTGGCTGCTCTTCCAGAGGTCCTGAGTTCAATTCCCAGCAACCACATGGTGGCTCACAACCATCTGTAATGGGATCTGGTGCACTCTTCTAGTGTGTGTCTGAAGACAGCTAGTGTGTGTGTGTGTGTGTGTGTGTGTGTATAAAGTAAAAACAAATAAAAAGTAAACTTTCAAAACAAACCAACTCATCCATGGGAGGCCAAAATCCAGTTTCCATTCATGAAGTTCAATTCTTTTTTTTTTCTGGAGGTGAATTTCTATCATGAAAAAATGTTCAAGAATTTAAAATTTAGCAGTTAACTTCTCTACTTAATAAAAAATGTTTTGTTGTAAGGCGTTTTGCTATTGCTATTTTTTTCTTTTTGAGACAGGTTCTTACTATGTAGCCTGGAACTTTATGTTACCAAGTTGACCTCTAACTTACAGAAAGCCACCTGTCTCTGCCTCTTGAGTGCTGGGATTAAAGGCATGTGCCTATTTGTGGCTTACTGTAGGTTTTGTCTTGTTTTAAGAACCATTCAGAACCAAGCATAAAAACCTTCAATCCCAGAATTCAGAAAGTGGAGTCAGGAGGATCAGGAGTCCAAAGTCATTCTAGACAGGAGAGTGAATTTAAGGTCAACCTGGGCTACGTGAGACCATGTCCTTTTTTTTTTTTTTTTTTTTTTTTTTGTTTTTTGAGAAAGGGGTTTTTTGTGTTCCCCCGGGTGGCTTTAAATAAAAAGGCGTGACCAGGAGGACCTTTGACACCT